TGGGCAATCAAATAAGGGGGTAACGTATAGTGTGTTCATGTACAGGGTAACATATAGTGTGTTCATGTTTTACAGTACACATTGGTAACACTATATTTTTTAATCTTGCAATTTTGAGCATATAAACTAGTGTATTTAAATTCCAAACTAAGTCATTTATTTAATATGTAATATCTATTTTTATTTAATTTATAATTTTTTAATAAACTATTGTTTATTACATGCTATGTGGTTTAAAATTGTAAGTTTTTTCATTAGTTTTAATAATTTAATGTTATTAAATAAAATAAATAATTCTGGTGTACCTACATTACAGAACATGCATTTATTATTATCTGAAAATTGCTCTCTGTCTCTATTTTATAGAATTGTTTTCAAAATAAACAATACTTGGGTCTAACCTGCTAATGTGACCCAATAGATCTAAAACAAATATCTAAAAGCAAAAATTATGATTTAAAACACATTCAAAAGTAAAAGTTAGACAATGCCCAATTTAATTTTATATTTAATTTTTAGTAAGTTAGATGAAGTTCATTCAATTTGAATTGGACCCAAACATTATTCTTTCAAAATTACAAACAATTGGTCTATTTTGGTAATTATCACAAGTTCCCAGCTATGTTTTTGTTTTAGTAGTTGTAGACACTAAAATTTTAGTGGGCTTTGGTGTTGATAAATGGACCCAAACATTATTCTTTCAAAATTACAAACAATTAGTCTATTTTGATAATTATCACAAGATACCAGCTATACTTTTGTTTTAGTAGTTGTAGACACTAAAATTTTAGTGGGCTTTGGTGTTGACAAATGAACTCATTAAATATGGGTCTAATGTTTAATTAAGTTATTTAATTGGCCCAAATTTAGTTCACTTAAATTATTTAATTAACCCAGCCCAGATGGTTAAATAAAAAGGATAATTATTTCTAATAAAATATATTTATAATAATTATCTTTAAGGATAATTATCATAATATTTATCCTTATTAGGAAATGATTTTATCCTTATTAGGAGATGACACGTATTATCATCTTATCAACCCAAGAAGCCTATAAATAGAGGCCTAAAGGAAGGGAGAAGGGGAACAAAAAATCCAAAGTCCAGAAATCCAGAAGGTCCAGAAATTGAGAGAATCAGAAATTCAGGCGAAGAATACCAGATCCAAAGTCGTGCCGTTCTTCACCAAATTCAACAAATAAATTCTCTCCCAAATTCAACAAATTCTCTCCTCTTTGAATCTTCACCAAATTCAACAAATTCTCTCCTCTCTGAAGACGAAAAACAGCAAGTACATCCAAAAACGTGCCGTTCTTCCTCAAATTCAACAAAGGACACAAATTCAGAATTCAGAAATTCAGACACAAATTCAGAATTCAAAAGTTCATAAACAAATGACACAACTTCAGAATTCAGAAGTCCAAAAATCTAAAGATTCAGAAGTCAGAGACACAAATTCAGAATTCAAACCCAAAAGCGAAGAACATCAAGCACATTCAATGACGTGCCGTTCTTCATCAAATTCCATGGTGATTCAAGAATAAATTCGTGCAGCCCTTGAATCTAACCAATAACAAAAAAGAGATCGAATCAGAGGACCATTCTTTTTGTAAAGAATATTATTACAAAGATTGTACTCCAAATTCATAAATTAATAAAATATTCTATTTGCTCCTAATTTTGTTTCTATTTGCGGACTTACAAAATTTGTATGTACAGTAGTTTTGTGTTTTCCATCATGATGATGTTTTATGTTGTAATAGATGGGATTCGAAACCTTGAACACACACATTTTTGTAATGTTTACCAAAGGTTTTAAGTATGAAAATAATTAGAAAATTAAAATTAAAGTAGCTAAATTAATTATGGATTAGCTAAATTAGCTATTCTTATGTTCTAAATTAAAATTAAATAATATAAAATAAATCAATGGATCAAAAACTATTTCAGAAATTAAATTGATTAAAATATAAATATATGTACTTGTTTAAGGAATTAATATGTGTTAGTTACTCATCAATAGTAATGTCATTATTGATATCACTAGTTTCACACAAGTAATATTTTGATCAATCAACCAAATAGCCCAAGTAACCAATTCAATTTAGGCTATTTAACAAACAGGAGGAACACGATCATTTCAACAAACGAGAGATAATATGACCAGGAAAAACAACTACTTTCTAGCATCTTCATAATCCATGATTGATAAATTCATCTCCATTCAACTATACATTATTATTATTATTATTTATTTATTTATTTTTTTCCCTTAAACTTTAAACTAGCTCCCCACCATGCAACTATCACCAGTTTTACTTGCAAAATTACCACCTCTACCATTTTACTAGACTTCTTCATCCACTTAAATTGTTTTCCAGTCCTGTAAGTCTTTTCAAATGTCATGAAAAAGATGAATATGTATAGGAGAATTTACAAAATCACAACAAGAATGTAAAAGATGAAAATGTATCTTGAGATCAAATATCAAACTAAACTAAACCTCATTGAGAATATACGTAACACGGACTCTTAGATATTCACCTTCCTTTATGTATTTGATAGCAACAGCCATGCACGAATAAATAATAATAATAATAATAATAATAATAATAATAATAATAATAGCAATTCTCGCAATAATAATAATCATCATCTGATAATTTTGATCTCTCAGTAAAAGAAAGAGTATTTACCGTTGTCATAATAAGGTCTGTACATCAAAACCAGACTCATCATCACAACAAAAGTAAAGACCAATCAATTAGGAACCAGGATTGTTCATGAAAAAGAAAAGAACCCTTGTAAAATTCCTCATCTTAGCACCATTCTTCAGCTTAATAGATGCATAATTGGCTTTTATACAACTTTTGATGCTACCAGCACAGATTCAAAAGAAAACAACAAATGTGTTTGATCAATGGGTGAACTTCTTATTCCCCCAAATTGGCATATCTATCGCACTAAGAACAAATATTTCTCTAACAAAATTGGCGAGAATCACAAAGTCTTATTAAAAATATTCTTCACGAAAACGTCCTCGCTGTTCCAGAAAATAAATAAATAAATAGGAGTAACATCATAAATGATCATCAATCTTCATCTCATCTTGGGATCAGATATCGGAGGTCCGAATTATGATTCGGTTCCGGATGTTGATACCCGGATTCTGACCCACCCTAATCCATTCATCTAAAAGTGCATCAAAGCAAATATTCAGAAAAAATCAATCCAGAACATGAACTGTTCAACCCCATCAACATCAAACCAACTAATTGAAAATTTCAATAAAATAAGATAAACATAAACTACACAGCTATCCAAGAATTGTGAATGGGGGAGCTAATATTTTTTTTAAATGAATTAATATTAATAATTATTTTTTTATTTTATTTTTGGTACTAGACTAAAATTAGTAAAAATATATATATATTTTATTTTTGGGATGGGCTCAAGCCCACCCAACCTTTCCCCTAGATAGGCCCTTCAACGTCAAACTAAATATTTACCAAAAAAAACCATTAAACTAAATAATGAAAAAAATCTACCATATGAAGAAAATATTGAACCCGCGGTAAAAAAAAATCAATCCGAGAACATATTGAGAACACACAATCTAAAGAAAATATTAAACCCGCGGTTTGCACATAAGTAAATAAGTAAATTTTGAGAATGATACGTTCCACAACACCACTCCATCAACTAATATCAAATTTTTGTAGTAGGAGTTTCCAAGTTAAAATACAGCCTTTGATCAGACAACAAAGAACATATTCTGAAGCACGAAATGCAAAAGATTCCACTCGTCTCAATGAACTTTTCTTCCAAAAGAATAATGTACTATACTAAAATTGACCATAGCAATTTTTTTTTTTTTTGGGATGGACTCCATATGCCTTCAACATCAAACTAAATATTTACTTAAAAAAACATCAAACTAAATAATGGAAAAAATCAATCCAAGATCATACAATCTGAAGAAAATATTGAACCCGCAGTGTGCACATATGTAAATCGTGGGCATCGTATTGATGAATGATTTGTCTTCTACTGCAATCCATTGCAGTAGCCTCGTGATGTTCTCTTTAAAAAGTGAACCACCACTCCATCAACTAATACGTTCCACAACCTCACATTTTTGTAGTAGTAGGAGCTTTCCAAGTTTTCTTTAAAACGGTGAACCACCAGTCCATCACCACTCCTGTAGTAGTAGGAGCTTCCAAATTAAAATCCACTCTTTGATCGGCAGCCAACAAAGAGCATATTCTATTTCTTCAAGCACGAAATGTACAAAATATTTTCCAATTCCACTCGTTTCAGCAAACTTTCTTCTCCCAAATACCTGTAATTGTAGGATTAAAAATGAAAAAAGTTAAATATGTCACTGAACTCCTGTGCATTTTTGAAAATCATTATTAAATTAATGTTAATGTTTTGAGCAGATAAAATCACACTTTAAAAACCAAATACAATGAATCTATTACAAGGTCCACTCCTTTAGGCAAAAAGGTCAAAGGAGGCCTCCAACACCAGAAACTCCATTGTCCATATCACTTTTACCACAATCTATTATTTTAGTTTTGCTTTTTCTTTTTCCCTTCTTTTTTTAGAAAGTTCACATTTACTATGATGCCATTTGTACTCAAGTTACTTACACATCAATTAGTCAATAGGAATTTGCACCTAACAAATTCCTTGAATAAATCACTGTAATTTTCCATATATTCCGAAAGGCCAAACATTTCGTCAAATGCTTGAAAATCAATTTTCAGAAAATAAATTGATTAAGTAAATATATAATTACTTGTTTAAGGAATTAAAAAGTGTTAGTTACTCATCAATATTAATGTCATTATTGATCTCAATAGACACTAGTTTCACACAAGTAATACTTTGGTCAATCAACCAAATAACCCAGGTAACCAATTCAATTTAGGCTACTTAACCAAGAGGGGAACACGAGTTACATGACCATTTCAACAATCGAGAGATGATACGATCAAGAAAAACTAACTACTTTCTAGCATCTTCATTATTCATGATTGAAAATCTTGTCCGATTCCACGTGAACTTTTCTCCCAAAAAAATAAATTTGTACTAGACTAAAATTGACCATGGGAAAAAAATAATAATAATAATAAAAAAAATTGTTTTTGTGATAGACTCAGTACGCCCTTCAACATCAAACTAAATATTTACTAATCAATCCAAGAACATACAATTTGAAGAAAATATTGAACCGGCGGTGTGCACATATGTAAATCATGGCCGTGATGAATGATTTGGCATTTGGAAGTAAGAGACTATTGTTCTCCTGCAATCCATTGTCATAGCCTCGTGGTGTTTTCTTTAAATGGTGAACCACCACTCCACCACCATTCCATCAACTAATACGTTCCACAACATCACACTTAAAATCCTCTTTGATAAGGAGACATACAACAAAGTACATTATTTTGTTTCTTCAAGCACGAAATGCACAAAATCTTTTCCGATTCCACTTGTTTGAGTAAACTTTCTTCTCCCAAAGGTATACCTGTAATTGTAGGATTATAAATGAAAAAAAGTTAAATATGTCACTGAACTCCTATACATTTTTGAACTTGAACATGTAATACTTGAAATCATTATTAAATTAATGTTAATGTTTTGAGCAGCTAAAAAACAGATAAAATCCGCATAAAAGACCCTTAACACTTTAAAAACCAAAAACGATGAATCTATTACAAGGTCCACTCCTTTAGGCAAAAAGGTCAAAGGAGGCCTCCAACACCAGAAACTCCATGGTCCATATCACTTTTACCACAATCTATTATTTTAGTTTCCCTTTTTCTTTTTCTTTTTCTTCTTCCCTTGTTTTTTTAGAAAGTTCGCATTTACTATCATGCCATCCTTCATTCAATTTTAAATAATTTGTACTCAAGTTACTTACACATCAATTAGTCAATAGGAATTTGCAGCTTACAAATTCCTTGAATAAATCACTGTTAGTTTCCATTTATACCCAAAGGCCAAACACTTCATCAAATGCTTGAAAAACAATTTTACAAAGTCTACTACAGATTACTTTCTTTCTCCACACATGTTATCAACTACCAATCTTATCGGAATAGGTTCGGTATCGTATAACATTTTCAGCGAAGCTCAACAATTACTCCGTCAAATTCACTAAACCGAACCATAATAATCTTCAGTGAGTCATAACAAGTTAGACCTCTGTGTATATATATATATACCTATAACAGGTGACCAAATTAACATGTATGATATGCAATAAGCAAGTGAGAACATATATCAAGCAGTTTAATGTAACACAATAACCAAAAATAAAAAGAAATGGTGACATGAAATTGTTGGGTTTTAAATAAATAATCCACAGGTAGAAATCAAGAATATTACAATTAATTAAATAGGGAATTTAGGTTCGTACCTGATTAATGATTAACGCACATATACCTTTGAGAATTCCTTATCGCCCTTTGAGAGATCTGAAAAAAATAGAGTGCTTTACTCCCTTCTGAAAGTTGTCGATACGATAGGATTGAATAAGAGTTTTAAAACCCTTATATATATATGACAACAACAGGCGAGACGGCTTTTTTACAAACAAGCATACCTAAGTCTCCCTTCCTATCATGGAAACTTAGATATCAATGGTTAGAAATAAATCACACCAAATAAGTTAGAAAACCACAATCCAACGGTATAAAACCATACTCCCAATTAGACCACCAAATTGAAAAGTACAACTCAATTCATCAAGTATCAATAATTACATTGCAATCCTATTTTAGAAAACGCAGTACATAGGACCATAAAATAATTTTTATTATTTAAATATATATATATAAATTCCAACAATCTCCCACTTGGTCCATGCACTCTAAGTTTTATAAAATGACACTATGGATTGCAACACACTTTATAAAAGTCGAGTGGCCACTCATTTTTATTTAGAAAACACAATTATCGAAATTGATGGATTGAAATTTTAAAACACTCTCCTCCATAAATTTCCTCAATAGTGGATCATGAATGCGTAGACAAGTAATATATTAGTCTAAACAGTTCTATGGTCTCAAAACCGATTCCATTTTTTTTTTTTTTTTTTACTGTATTTCATGAGATGTGCAAACTGTATGGGGTCTAAACGCACATCTCACTATCCGTCCTGCTTCATACTATAGCGATATGTCACCTGAACGTATTACAGCAAACCGCCAACCTTCTGTTCAGTGTGAGGGTTTACCGATATGGAGCCAATCCCATATCTAACCTAAGCTATCCATCCTACTTCATACCATCGCGGTATGTCACCTGAACATATTACAGCAAACCGCCAACCTTCTGTTCAGTGTGAGGGTTTACCGATATGGAGCCAATCCCATATCTAACCCAAGTTATCCTCATGGAGTGTGAAAAAACTCCCACAGGCAAAATTTAATATTTATGTTTGGATTTACCAATGTAGTGTCAATCTCACATCTAATCCAAACAACCTCATGAGTGAAATACCACTCCCAGACAAATCTTATATTTGGATTTACCGATATGGCGTCAATCTCATATCTAGCCCAAACAACCATATGAGTGAATTATCACTCTCAGACAACCTTTAATAATTATTTTGGATTTATCGATGTGGTGCCAATCTCATATCTAACCCAAACAATTTCATGAGTGAAATATCACTCCCAAGCAAACATAATAGCATGTGCATAAACCATATATATCAAGATAATAATTATGATGCATCATAACTTTATTTTGGATGCAAATAACTGTCACCATAAGGCGTAAACTGGAGGAAAAATAATCGTCACCACAAAGCGTAAAGAAACTAATGATAATGTAGCATATACAAAAGAAATACCAGACATCATACCATAATGACTCTCGAACACCTATCCGAATCACGTGCTCTTTAATTACTTTATTATCTTCGGCTGAAGACTTTAGTAAAAGGATTTGCAACAATCTTTCTGTAACCATATAGGAAAATCTTAATGACACTTTAACCTTAACCTTCTCATGCTTGAAAAATGTACTTTATGTCAATGAGCTTACTACGCTTGATCACCCTTAAATTGTTCCATATACTTAATTAATATAAGCCTTTAGAGAAAGTCCAAGCATTCCTGTAACGTGTTCTCTATGGATCCTAATGCCAAGGACATACTTTGCATACTCATGTCCTTCATGTCAATTCTTTACATAAAATTCTTAATATCATGTATCACATGAATGTTATTACTACCTTGCAAAATATCATCAAATAGGACAAGGAAAACAAAATGACTCCCACTGAACTTAAGGTATATGCATTTATCCATAACATTCTCTTTGAACTTACAATTAGTAACCACTGTATCAAAATTTTGGATACTACTGCTGTAAAACTTATTTAAGCTATAAATGAGTGATAATGAAAGAATGACTCTTAAAGAGTCCTTTAATGAAACTGGAAAATAATCTCAAAGAAAACAACACTTCATTTTTGCTTAAGCACTTGGCCATCAATTTTGTCTTATATCCATCAAACACCTCAAATCACCAACTAAAACACACTTCCAAGCTCTAGAAGATCTCCTAAGCTAAACAGGCTTAGGAACTAGATTGGAAACTGAAAGAAAACTTGCAAAGAAGAAATAACTAATTGAGTGGGAATACCTGAAAAATGGGAACATGAGTTTTAACTGAAACCACTAAAGAAAGTGGAATGAAGCATAGAATAAATAAAATAGATGCTGAAAAAACTTTTCTGCAAAAGAAACTACAATATTTTAAACTCCCACTGGATTCACCACTCTCATTAAATATGCATGACATATTCCAATAATCTCCATAGGTTAATAGGATAGTAAAATCTCGAATCCTTTAATCTTTCAAGATGCCCAATAACATAATTATTGACAGTGCGAGTATCAAGCTCCTTGATATCTGCATTATATAACTTTATCTCTATAAAACATCCCCACACTTTCTCTTTTTTGTAACTTTATTTTGCGCAGGAGAACTAGGAGTGGTGTACTGTGATATAATGCACTGATCTTTAAATATGTACTGAAAGTACTACGATTTACACCATCCTTACCATTCTCCCATTAAAATTCACCACCTTAGTCCGATCTTCAAACCATAATCTTTATACGAACTATTTTCAACTTTAGTCTAATAAATTTTACACACATCAAGTGCTTCAGACTTCTGGTGGATTAAGTATACAATCATACCTTAAGAATTCATTAATGAAGACAATGAAATACATTTACCGCAAACGAGTTACAATAAGAAATGGACCACAAAATTCGTTATAAATATAGTCTAAAAGACCAAATAACCGACTGACCTCAAAATTGCGTTTCTCTGCATTTACCCTTTGATACAAACAACGCATAAAATTTGTGACCCAATAATCTCATCCTTGACCAAGCGTTCAAATCTCTTTTGAGAGACATTCCCCAGTATCCTATGAATAACATAAATGAATCCTCTCTAACCAAAACACGATTTTCTTTGGAAGGTATCGAGTCTATAGAAAAACAAGAAACAGGTAGAATCACATCCGAATCCATCTACCATGTCTATACCTATACTATTACCAAGTTTGGCTTAAATATTAACATGAAATTTTTTTTTCATGCTTTGTTTTTCTTTTCACCACAATAACCTTTTCTTTTGATGTCTTTTTATTTCTACAGAATTAACCTTTATCATTCCATGATCAATGTCTTTTCATGTATTGTTCTGTCTTTCTTTATTCTGTTTAGTCTTATACACTCTCTTGCCACCTAGTTTCTTCTTGAAACTATTCTTTCTATCATCGCAAAATAAGCTGACTCAGTTTTAACACCCTTGAGTCGTTCCCATTCAATAACACAAAATGCTAACAGTTGGTTAATACCACATTTAACTTCTTGTGAATTATAATTCACCTTAAAACTGAAAAAACCTAAGCAGAGAATAGATCACCATGTGGACTAATTAACTTATTAGAAAATATGATTCTCTACTACCTCAGATCATTAACCAGCTTGCACAGCTTACACCATGTTGCCATCATATCTCACTAACATAATCCATATTAGATAATAGTATTGTAGTTGCTTCTTAATACCCATTAACTCTTTCTTAATCAAATTAAAAAGCTCATTGGCAGTATCAAAACTAGAATACCACCCTGAATAGTATCACCGATAGAAACATAAATTAACCTAATGGTATCGTAGTACCTTTAGTCCACTAAAAAATGCAACAACTTTTCTACCTAAGAAGACTCTGCACTAGGCATATGGGTTTCTTCCTCAAAAAGCACAGACTTGTAGTCCAAGAAACCTAATATAATATTAAAACCTGTCTTCTAGGCAATATAACGTTAACCATTCAGTGGTTTAACCCTAGGAACTGTCTTTAAATTGCGGAAGCGTCTGTAACCTGAGTAAATGTTATATTGAAAAACACTACATAAACAACATATAAAATAATATGTCACAGCTTTAGGGATTATTACTTTAATTCATACTTGGGGTTTTAAGCCAAATTTCTCAGGGTGTTTTACTATGTGCAAAACCATCCACCCTGCGGGAACAAATAAAATGTTATCTAAAAAACACTTTTTGGCAAAATTTTAGATTTTACTTTACTCCCAAACCTATTTGATTATACTTGAATTATTGCTAAACATTTCCACTACCTTTTGGTAAGAGGGTTATTTAGTTATAATTCAAGCACTCTTAAATATTCTACTCGTTTATCCCACACTAAGACATTGATTACCTTTTGGCAGAACAAATACCCTCATGTAGGTAAGTGAATTGTGAGACCTCAATAAGACCAATGCCTTAATTTTTTTTTTTTTATATAAAAATAATAATAACCTCCATGAGCGTGTCACCTTTTGGCAGGCATCACCCACTTTAGCTATTACCTTTGAAACGGTCATTTTACCGGTCTTCCTAAACTCCAAGGAAGAACCTAAACTGCAGAAGTTTCAGTTATTTAAGTTCAACAATTTCTTTATAATGCACATAAACTAAACCCAAATACTATGGAACACTTGATTAATTTCACTGTCATATAAATGGCTTTAATACAAATAAAATAAAGCCTCCTCATACATCTTAAGAAATTACAGTAAACAATATAATAATAACATGCACATCAATCAAGAGTTAAAATCTCAATTCTATATATATACTTTAATTAAAATAAAAATAACTAAACCTTGATGCATGTATATTATATATCCGACAAACAATTTAAAATACTTGAATCTTTAAATTAATTAGGTTAATAATACTTACTTATGTCACGCAAGCTCTCATAAATTTTTCAATTTAGAATTGAACAAGTATCATGAATTACTCAATGTGACTAAATAGCCACACAACCTCATGTCCCACTCAAAGATCACTGATTACATGTAATATAACATGAATTAAAATTCTAAACCTGACAACAACTAGGCAAAAAAACAAATCACACTTTAATACATGAAAGTAGAAGCTTCATATATATGTATATGTATATGTATATGTGTGTGTATATATATATATATATTTCTTTACTGTTAATTCAAAAGACTTTTTAATCTTCATGCATATCAATATATAATTCACACAAATCAAGACATTTAGTCTCATTGTACATCCATGTCATATTAATTGGGTATAATGATGTACTGCTCATGAATGGTTAGATAACCACACATTACTGCATCAATTACTATACATATATATAAAGGGAAAATTACATATAAATGGAGTTAAAGTTCCATATTTACTTAGAGGCTGAGTCAAAGTTCCATATTTCTCTAAAATGGATTGCTGAGGTGGCACATGGGTTTTTACTGTTTAGAAATTATAATGCCTAAAATACCCTTCCGCGAAGGTACTACTTTTTCTTCGAAGGTACTACTTTTTTGAACTGAAGGTACTACTTTTTGGCGTCCAGGTACCATGTTTTTTAAACACTCGCGAAGGTACTACTTTTTCTCCGAAGGTACTATTTTTTTGAACTGAAGGTACTATTTTTTTGAACTGAAGGTACTACTTTTTTATTAGGGAAGGGCATTTTAGGCACCACAATTTTTTAAACAGTAAAAAATCATGTGCCACCTCAGCAATCCATTTTAGAGAAATATGGAACTTTGACTCCATTTATATGTAATTTTCCCTATATATAAATATATGATTAAATACCAAATTAAATAAATATTCAATCCTGATTTCTTTCAATATATGTTCAAATAATTTATGAGAATATATATATACAATCATATATTCACATCTATATAAATAGCTGTAAAATCATTCAAGAAAATCACAAATCCAATTTAAAAATTATAAATGCAAATAGGTATAATTTTCTTTTCAATTTAGTTTCAAAAGAAACAATTGGGTCACAATTTTTCAATTTATTAACTGAAAATTTATACCCCAATTTTGGATCTTCTATACTTATGAATTTTTTTTTTTTCTTACATAACTATTAAGCCAATTGAGCCGCCCCTGCACATATATCTCGTCATTTATAATTTATACTTCTCACTTGTTCTCAGACTACTATAATCATGGGTATGGATGTCCAGTCCCAGTATCAACTTTCTTTAAATGACGATTTTAGTCATACCTTGGTCCTTGACATGTAGTTTGGATTCCATTAAAGTATTATCTAGTTTAGAGACTGGATGTAAACATATTCGCCGTGCTTATGTTATAAAGGAACAAGAGCAAAAAAAAAAAAACACAACAATTGCATAATAAACAGAGTTAATGTTTTCGTTCGGCGCGCACAAGCAATGATATATACAGTACTGATTTAGCATTTAACACAAAACTTTATATGCTTATATATAAATCAATTATATATCTATGTATGGACAAGCACACAAAATTTTTAGAAAAATAAGGATTTATGCAATCAGTGCGATTTCGAATACACCATAAATTAATCTATATTATTTTGATTTCTACAAATTCTAACCTTGGCTCTGATACCAATTGTTAGGTTTTAAATAAATAATCCACATGTAGAAATCAAGAATATTACAATTAATTAAATAAGGAATTTAGGCTCGTACCTGATTGATGATTAACGCACATATACCTTTGAGAATTCCTTATCGCCCTTTGAAAGATCTGAAAAACGCTTTATCCCTTCTGAAAGTTGTCGATACGATAGGATTGAATAAGAGTACCTTTATATATATATAACAGCAACAAGAGGGGACGACTTTTCTACAAATAAACATACCTAAGTCTCTCTTCCTATCATGGAAACTTAGATATCAATGGTTAGAAATAAATCACACCAAATAAGATGGAAAACCACAATCCAACCTTATAAAACCATACTCCCAATTAGACCACCAAATTAGAAAGTACAACCCAATCCATCAAGTATCAATAATTACATTGCAATCCTATTTTAGAAAACGTAATACATAGTACCATAAAATAATTTTTATTATTTAAATATATATATAAAAATAACAACAGAAATTACATAAAGTATGCAAAGTAACATTTTTGAGCAAGAATTGTCTACATAAAAATATAAAATAATTATCATAATAATACCACTCATTTAATATAAGAGAGATAAGTTAAATAATCACATAAAAAAATGATGACTTTTAACCACGACATATTTACTTCAATTGACAAAAAAAGAGTGTTTTTTTGACCACTTCACCATGTACTTGGCGACCTCTTCGCTCACTTCCTTCCAATCACCCTTGGTAAAGATCAACCCAACATTGCCCTAATTTCCAAAACAATAATAATCAATAAAATTCAGTGCTACCAAGAAGAAAGTACAATACTTCTCATACAAAAGTTATTTTCTCGGAAACCAAAAAGATGGAAAATGAAAATATAAGCTCAAAGAAATGAAGAAATCAGGGAACGAACAAGTAGAGGGATCACATTGAGAAATGTCTTGTTGCCAGTGTTCTCAGCATGAATCCTGAAGGACCCCTTCATCATGGGGTTCTTACCCATCAGAACCACAGAATCAGCACGAAGACCCTGACGAATCTTCTGCAACTGGTTCGATTTAGTGAATTTGTTGTGTTATGGATATTGTTTTGTGGGTAAGAGAGAGAGTAATTGACATGGTGGAGTGTTACTGTGTTAGGAGAGGATAACGTGTTCTTCTGTGTTGTGCAGTGAATTTTGTGATGAATCTGATAATATCTTAATATCGAAGGAAAGGGCCAAGGGGTCACGGGTGATACAAATAGATGATATATATATATATATATATATATATATATATATCTTTAGAAAGGCACAAAGGGCCAAGCTAAGTGGCAGTATAGGGGCGTAAGCCAAACCAGATAAAAGCATACAAATCCTAAAGCAATACAATAAAATGAAGAACAAATTTCAAATTTGTTGAGAAAGAGCCGCCACTCTAAAATGGAAACCAGAAAGAGAAAAGAGCAGCAAATAGAGTTTTAACATCGGATTCCTTCCTCATACTAAAGACAAAAAATTTGATTGGGTCTTACAACAGTGTTGACCAGATCATTTTTACAGTACTTTGAATTGAGTCCGAGAACTACGTCCATATGTAGAGAGTGCACAGTGAGATGGACAACGCAGGAGTAAAAAGGCTCCAAATTAGGGCGAGCCCAGCCCGCCCAACTTGTAACATTCAGAAGACTACCACTGCTTACCTTGGACCACTTACAGGATAGAATCAAGCATTACCATTTCTGCTCCAACAGTCCTTGTGAATTTTTTTCTTAGTAAAATATATAAATACTAATAATATATACATAATATAAAATTATAAGGAATGCCATTTTTGCAGCCCATTTTTCTACACTTACACTATGTCAATTATAACCTTAACTTTACAACTAAATGACTATTACTTTTTAAATAACAAAACAACCCATTCAAATTTCCTCTCCTTATATCTAATATTTAATATTTTAGGTTTCTTTTGATAAAACAAAAAAATAAAATAATTTTTTTTTATGGGACCAAAATATAAATATATATATATGTTGAATAAATTGGCTCTTTTGACCCAAAAAAAAGAAAAAAGAAAAAAAAGTAAACATTTAAAAAAATGGAAGAAAAACACCCAAAATTTTTTTATTGATTCAAAAAACATATATATATGAAAAAAGATAATTTAAAAAAAAGTATTGAATAAATTATCTCTTTTGATAAAATCTAAAAAATAAAAAGGTTTTTTCTATTGAATAAATTATTTCTTTTTACGGGCCATAAAAAAATACCATTTTTTTTTTTTTCAAAATAGGAATTATTGACTCATTTTTTTTTTCTCTTTTTATTTTTTTTGATTATGAGTGTTAGATAATCAGATATATCATTAGCTTTAATCACTAATGCCTATCAAAGTAATAGATGTATACTAACGATCAGAGACACAATCTTTTACATATAAAGTATAAACGAGAGGGATAGACAATCTAATTATATATAAAGAGTCCTTACAAATATGCAATGTGATGTATACATAAAATAAATATATATATCAATGCCTATCAAAATAATAGATATATATTAATGATCAAAGACACAATCTTTTACATATAAACGAAAGGGATACACAATCTAATTATATATAAAGAGTCCTTATAGATATGCAATATGATGTATACATAAAACAAATATATATATATATATATCTCAATGCCTATCAAAGTAATAGATGCATATTAATAATCAAAAATACAATCTTTTACATATAAACGAAAGTGATATACAATCTAATTATATATAAAGAGTCCTTATAGTTATGCAATGTGATGTATACATAAAACAAATATATATATATATATAATTTGATATACATAGTGATTGAAACTTTAATAGACAACAAAGATATTAGATTAAGATAAATTCTAGAAAGCAGATTGCAATTTTCTAAATAGTTAATTACCTTCTATTTTTAAATAGGTCCCATTATATTTGTAAATTTTTATTTATTTATCGGGACAAATAGTAGAACTCATATAGTCATATATAAATATATAATATCTCCTAACAAGTATTGCATGTTACAATGAAAACATATATCAACAAAAAATAATCAAAACTGAAACATGGGCTATATATATAATATTATATATATACACAATAAAAATAAAAACTTATTATTGTATTATAAAGGAACTTAAGAAAAACAAGAAAATAAAAATCTGGAAAGAAAGAATTATAGTATATTATATTTTATATATATATATATATATATATATATATATATATATATATATATATTTGGTAATATATATTTTATATAGAAACCTTAGGTTCCTTATATCCTTTACTCCCATTCTCAGTCCGCCTCCCCTAGCTTTCTAAAAAAAAAAGGTCCGCCTCCCCCCTTCTCAATTTCCATTGCCCGTTGTTCCAGATCGGATTCACCGTTTGCAATCTTCAACCGCTGGCTTGCTGTCTCTCAACTCTCAAGCTATGGATTGATTCAAGGGGAGAGAGAAGAAAGAGCGAATTCAGATTCTCATAAGAAAGCTCTCTCTCTGCAGCTGCTAACTTGTATGTACGGGTTTTTTTTTTTTTTTTTTTTTTTTTTTCAGATTGTTCAAAAAATCAAAACCCATATCTTTCAGTTTCCTTCAAAAAATCAAAACCCATATCTTTCAGTTTCCAGATCCAGATCTCCAACCCCTAATTGCCGCCGTCCTCTATCTTGCTGTCCTCTGTCATCGTCTGCTATCGCATCGGTAGGTACTGCAGATTTTTTATTTATTTTTTGTTTTAATGAGTTGAATACATTGATGCAATTTCATAAACAATGTGATGATGTAGAGGCAACTGAGGTTTTTCAATAATAATATGGTTTCCTGGCGTGTTATTATGACTAGAAGTTTGGTATGGCAACAGCTCGGTAAAATTCTAAGAATAAAGTAGTTTTCAGGAACCATATATGACTTTTATGAAATTGGATCCTTTTAATTCTTTATAGAGAAAAATGTTTAGAAAATTGTCAATTAAAGGAGCAAATTTTTGAGTGCACTAATTAATTAATTATTTATTTTTCAGGTCTCTGAGAGCTAAAAAAAATTTCTAAAAAAACTTACCCAAGATTTTCTAGGATTTTTAAATTGGCAAAGAAAGAAAGATCACTGAGATGGTATATTCTTAGGTGCTTAACTTTAACTGAGATCGTAATAAGTGATTTTCTTAGGTGCTTATCAATTATGTGTATATGAGATAGTTTTGACAATTAAAAGCTTGCACCAGTTTTGAGTCATCTAGCAAAATTAAGGGGTAATATTATCAATTATGTGTATATGAGATAGTTTTGACAAATAATTTATATATTTCATGTTTTTTTTTTAGGTTATCTATAATTTGATATATTGGCATATCCCTTTTGTAGGAATGAGAAACATGGAAATTGGAGGATGAATGTTGAGGTGCATGGAGACTGAGAGGAGTATGGGGTTAGACCAACAATTTTTTCTGTTATTTTGCAATGTTATTATTAATGTTGGTTAGGAGGGTTTGTTTTGGACTTATTTATTACCAAGGCAGCATATTAATATTATTGTGAAAAATATATGCTACTCCTACTAATAAAAATTGAGAGCCCGACTTAAAAGCCCAAGAAAAACTTGAAAATATAAGTCGAATTAAGAATTAAGAACCCGAGTTCAGCCCGCGTTTTAAAAATTAAGTATGGGCAAGGCTTGGGCTCAATAGGCGGAATTATCCCTAGGCTTGGGTTAGGCTTGGGCTGAAGACTTGTACGTTGGGCTGAGCCCGAGTTAAGTGTTCAACCCGCCCAACCCGCCCGATTTGCAGCCCTAATGCAAAGACCTTATTTATTTATTTATTTATTTTCCTTTTCTTCTCCGATCTGAACCTTTCATTGAGCTTACGCTTATTTTTGGAGTTTTTCTGTTCAATTTCTTTGGCCAATATTGGTTTTGTATATATATATATATATGGGTTGAACACTAAGAGAACCATATATGAGGAGAGGGAGAATCATGTGCCTTTCCATATAAAGACCATTTTAGAAAATGCATGAATACCTAGTGCGTAATAATTTTTGCTGACCAGTTTAAAATTTGTGCTTTTGATATAGGTTTGCTTATTGGGAAGGGAGAATTATTTGGATTGAGTAGCTTCGGAAAAGAGTAAGTTTATATTGAGTTGTTGTTATTATTATTATTATTATTATTTATCTAATTAGTTAATTTGTGGTTGGAGGACAATAAACTCGTTATTTTTCTTTTTTTATAGACTTTAGCTAAAGAATTTTAATTCTAAATTCTTTTATTATTAACAGAAGAACTGCACGGCTGTTATCTTTCTTTAATCAGATTTGGTCTGGACCAACCCGACACAAAAATCAAATCCAAAACACGGGTCATTGGGCCAGTAAGGCTCTGGAAAATTCGAGCCACATCCTCAATCACACCATTCATTTCGTTTACCTCATTCTCTCCAACTCCAGATTAGTAGAGGGTCTTCTTCCTCAACACTTCACATTCAAGTTCTTCCCAACACTACACTGAAATTAGGGCTTTAAAAATGTCGATCCTTCAAATTTCACTGTCGATCCCAACACCACATCCACATAACCTCTCATCATCTATGGTTTTGTCTGGCCTAAACCCTATCTTCCTCGTTTCGAAGCTCTTTCGCCTGTCAATCAACACATCCAAAACGACAAGGATCTATATGAGCGGCGGTCTGAGAACATACCTAGGTGGTGTATCGAAATGGCAGTGGAAGCGAATGCAAGCAAACAAATCCAAACAACTCCTCAAGGCCAGACTCACCCGCGAGCTACAAATCTACGAAATGTGAAAGCGGGCGGAGTTGAGAGTGGCTGTTTCGGAGCTCGAGAAGCCGTGGGAGGTCGTTGAGAAAGCGCCGATGCTATTTTTCGTCAGAGCTGATGAACAGTTGAAGGTGTTGGCCGATATATTTCAAAAGCCAGGTGGGTTAGATTTGTGGTTCGAGACAGATGGGCCCCAGTTGTTCGACATCGTCGATAGGGTGCCCTCGGCGAGGTTTTTCCCTAAAAGGGTTGTTCATAGCATCAAACCTTACGGGAAAATTGCTAATGATTTGGATAACATGAAGGAATTGTTGAGTTTGTCCTCAGAACCTGAAATTGGTATACAATTAAATGGGAATAAGAATCCGAGAGGATTGAGAGGTGGTTCACGTAGCGAAAGTGTCGTTGAACCAAACAATTCG